TTTCCCCTTTGAACACGCCGGCAGCTGGACCCCCGGCAGCTCCCCGCCGAAAATCAGGTCAGGGAAGCCAAATATATCATTAGATCCTTAACTCGAGCCACGCACCTTGAAAGGGTTGGACCTGAGGGTACAGAGTCCTCTTTGTACGAGGAAGATCAGGTGTGTTTCCCCAGAGAAGAAGGAGGCACACCCGTTCCTCTGCGAACCGCGTTGGCATCAGCCACCTCCTCGCCGGTGCCTCCTTCCAGCCCGGTGGACGGGTTGGTCACCTCATCTTGGGTTGAATATTTTGGTGCTTCTCCAGGGAGTGACTCACACACCCACTACAAACCCGTGTTGGGGCCGGACAAGCTCTCCTATGTGCTGGACCATGTCGGCAGCGGAGAAAACACCTTCTACGTTGAAGGGTTGGCTTTCCCTGACATGGGCTTCTCCGGATTGGTGTCCTTCAGCGCCAGCTTGCTGGAGACCCCCCATAAGGTACGTGGGGTTTGCCCAATCCCCTCCGAAGTCCCCCAACAGTGGAGTTTTCAACTGGTTTTTACTCTCCACAGAGTTCGCCGGGCACTCCGATTTTCACAGATACGGTGGTTTTCCGCGTGGCGCCCTGGATCATGACGCCCAACACGCAGCAGCCTCTAGAGGTTTTTGTCTGCAGGTAGGAGGGGCCTCACCCCACTGCTCTCCTGCCTTGGGGGACTCTCTGAGGAGGAATCTTTGACCTTTCTTTGCTGTGTAGCAGCTGTAGGGTGAGCCAAGCTTTATGGATGTTATGCTGGAGGCAATATTTGGCACTGCTGAGCTCATTGCAACCCCAAGGAGAAGGGCTGGAGGACCCTCTGCTGGGTCTAACCTCATGCAGGACTATTGCCCGTCACATTTAGGAAGGAGGAATGAGCTGCAGCGTTAAGGTTGGGGGTTTTTCTCATGAATCGCTGCTCACAGTGTCCCCTTCTTCCTCTCTCTCCAGCATCCAGCGGGGCTCAGACTCCAATGAAGTTTTTCTTGAAGGGCAAATGAAGAAAGCCAACTGCAAGCTGACCATCTGCTCCGAGGTGGAAACCCGCAGCGACCGCTGGATCCAGGTCATCAATGAGGGCTTGTTGATACGCGGCTGCTTTCCTAGGGCCCCCGGGAGGGATTAGCTGAGCTGCTTGAAGAAGCACCCACATGCTATGAGGTGAACCAGGCAACCGGGAGCTAAAGCACAACAAAATGCTGCTGCTGGTGGACACCAGCACAGACAGTTGTCTGGAGACCCAACGAGGTGCTCCTTTGCGAGAGGGACCCTTTTATAAGGGCGTGTGGTGACACGACGAGGGGCAATGATTTTAAACTGGAGCAGGGCAGATTTAAGTTAGACGTTAGGAACAAGTTCTTTACTCTGAGAGAGACGAGACACCGGGACAGGTTGCCCAGAGAAGCTGTGGATGCCTCATCCCTGGAAATAATCAAGGCCAGGCTGGGTGGTAGTGGGAGGTGGCCCTGCCTATGGTGGGAGGGTTGGAATGAGATGATCTTTAAGGTCCCTTCCAACCCAACCCGTTCTGTGATGACCCTGGGGGGCGTTACAAGAGGAACCCTGTTGCAAGAGGGACCCCGTGAGGCTCCACAAGAGGGTCTCCACTGCAAGAGGGACCCTAGAGGCCATTACAAAAGGGGTCCCAGTGCGAGAGGGACCTTGCAGGGGGACAAGAGGGACCACACAGGTCCAGGAGGACACGGCGTGTGCTGGCTGGATGTGCCCCAGCTCTGTCCTCCTTGTCCGTTGTGGCCACGTGTTGCCTCACCAGGGGTGACCTGTGCTGGTTTAACCCTCCCTTGGGGTTCAGGGCACCAGCCAGACTTTGCAAACTTTGCTCCATTTCCTGCTCCACCCTCACCGCACACCTCACCGAGATATCAATTGCCCTGCCAGGAACCTTCCTCCTCTTCCTCCTCCTCCTCCTCTTCCCACAACAGGACGAGCTGGAGTTCGGCTACGTGGAAGCACCGCACAAGACCTTCCCTGTCGTCTTTGACTCGCCCAGGAACAGAGGCTTGAAGGATTTTGCTTTTAAAAAGATCCTGGTGCGTTGTTGCATTGCCAACTCCCCTTTTTCTCTCCCCACACGTGAAATCCCTCTCCCAGGGCATCCCTGTCACTGCTCCCCCTTCTTCCCTAGGGCCCTGATTTTGGCTACGTCACCCGTGAACCTCCCAGGAAAGCCGTCACCAGCCTGGAAAAAAAAAAGGCCGTCCACCCCGCCGGTGACGGTGCGAGGGAAGGAGTATCCCCTGGGCCGCATCCTGATCGGCAGCCCCCTGCCTTGGTGAGGTTCCGCGCTGCAGGGAAGCACCAAAACCCACCCCTGGCACGAGAAAGGCTTTGCACCCTTTGGAGAGGAAATTTTGGGGGCTAGTTCCTGTCAAAATGGGAATTTGGGGCTGGTTTTCATCCAGTTTGACCGGTGACGGTGCGAGGGAAGGAGTATCCCCTGGGCCGCATCCTGATCGGCAGCCCCCTGCCTTGGTGAGGTTCCGCGCTGCAGGGAAGCACCAAAACCCACCCCTGGCACGAGAAAGGCTTTGCACCCTTTGGAGAGGAAATTTTGGGGGCTAGTTCCTGTCAAAATGGGAATTTGGGGCTGGTTTTCATCCAGTTTGACTTGCGAGCTGCGTCGTTATTCCTTCATGCCTTACAAAACCCTGCCACCGCTCTGATTTTTGCTTTCTCCCAGTCCACTAGTGCTTTTGTGCTGGTTCTACGACACCGTACACATCCAGGCTGTTTTTTCCTCCTTTCCTCTATTAAAAGGAAAAGCAGAGGAATCCAGGAAAGGGTAAAATCCTGAATAACTGGAAATTGTTTAGCTCCAGGCAGGCAGTGCTAGGCAACCTCGGGGGAACAACAGCATCCGGCACAAAATCCTCCACAAAGGAGGTTATTTTTCCCAGAGAAATAACAACGGGGACGAATCCAGACGGGGA